TATGCAAATTAACTGTCAGCCAAGATGGCGGCCAGCAGCCAGGCAGCTTGAAACTAACATGAGGCTTGGTTGCCTCAGTGACAGAGGAAACCAACATTCACCGCCTGGGACTCCAGGCCTCTGAGCCTGCAGTTTCAAACATTGTAACAAATACCGCTGGACTTCAGCCAGCAGATTCGCAACATTGTATGCAAAGGCCAGAAACCTACTTTCAGGAGGAGAGGCCTAAGAGCTGGAGCCAAGCCTCAGAGCTAAAGCTGGCCCAGAATAAAAAAAAAAAAAAAGGAAAAAAGGAGCGTTTGGGAGTTCAGTCACCCCCAGCCTGAAAACAGCCCTCAGCCCCTCACCCAGACTGGCCAGGCACCCCAGTGGGGACCCCCACCCTGAAGGGTGTGTGACCAGCTGCAAACAGCCATCATCCCCTCACCCAGGCTGGCCAGGCACCCCAGTGGGGACCCCCACCCTGATCCAGGACACCCTTCAGGGCAAACGAGCTGGCACCCACCCATGCACCAGGCCTCTATTCTATATAGTAAAAGGGTAATATGCCTCCCAGCACCGGGATCAGCAGAGCCGAGAGGCCTCCCGGCACTGGGATCAGCATGACAGGGGGCAGCACCCAAACCCCCTGATCGGCCCTGCTCTGTGTGTGACAGGGTGCGGCCCCCCCCCCCGGCCCTGCTCTGTGTGTGATGGGGTAGAGCCATAACCTCCCCATCAGCCCTGCCCTGCGTGTGACAGTGGCGGCGCCCCAACCCCCTGATCGGCCCTGCTCTGTGGGTGATAGAGGGCGGCGCCCCAACCCACTGATCCACCCTGCTCTGTGTGTGACAGGAGACAGTGCCCCAACTCCCCTATCGGACCTACTCTGTGAGTGACAGAGGGGAGCTCCTCAAGCCCCTGATGGGCCCTGCTCTGTTCGTGACAGGAGGGAGCTCCCCAACCCCCTGATGGGCCCTGCTCTGTGCATGACAGGGTATGGAGCCCCAACCCCCCTGATGGGCCCTGCTCTGTGTGTGACAGGGGGCAGTGCCCCAATCCCCGGATTGGCCCTGCTCTGTGCGTGACGTGACGGGGTCGTGCCGCAACCTCCCCATCGACCCTGCCTTGAGTGTGACAGGGGGTGGTGCCCCAACCCCCCAATCGGCCCTACCCTGAGTGTGACTGAGGGTGGAATCACAACCTCCTGATCGCCCTGCTCTGTGTGTGACAGGGGGCGGCGCCCCAACTCCCCAATCGGCCCTGCTCTGAGCCCGACCAGGGGCTGCACCTAGGGATTGGGCCTGCCCTCTGCCACCCGGGAGCAGGCCTAAGCCAGCAGGTCATTATCTCCCGAGGGGTCCCAGACTGCTAGAGGGCACAGGCCGGGCTGAGGGACTCCCCTTCCCCCCGAGTGCACAAATTTTTGTGCACCGGGCCTCTAGTGTTTTATAAAGGCCTTTCCAGCTTTTTTTAACTCTGCATCAGGTAGATTGCTTGTCTCCATTTTGTTTAGTTCTTTTTCTGGAGTTTTTTTCTGTTTTTTCATTTGCGACATGTTTGTCTCCTCTATTTTGTCTGTCTCTCTGTGTTTGTTTCTATGTATTAGAGCTGGTACATCTGGTTTGCTAGAGTGGCCTTATGTAGTAGGTATCCTGTAGGACCCAGTGGCATAGCCTCCTGAGTCATCAGAGCTGGGCACTCCAGGTGAGTCCCTTCATTCTTTGTGGGCTGTGCTCACTCTCCTATTGTAGTTGTGCCTTGATTGCTGTTGGCACATCAATGATAGGGATTTACCCCCAGGCTGATCGATTACAAGTACTGGCCATGGATGATCTGCTGTGCAGGGGCTGATCCCATGGAGCAGAACTCATTTCAGTGGGACTCAGGTACCCACTGGACGCTGAGATTCTAGAAGCCCTTCATCTCACTCAGCCATAATCTCTGCTAGTTCTTACAGCCAGTGAAATTCTCTTCCTGGTACTGGAACCCTGGGCTTGAAGCCTAGTGTGGGGCCAGGACCCCTTGCTCCTCAATACCTCTACATCCAAGATATCCCTCACAGTTTTTAACTGCCACGCGTGGGTGTGGCACCAGCTCATTCCATGTCTCCACCTCTCCTACCAGTCTTGACGTGGCTTCTTGTTTATATCCTTAGTTATGAGACTTCTGTTCAGCTAGATTTCAGGCAATTCTGAATGATGGTTGTTCTGTAGTTGTAATTTTGATGTGGTTTTGGGAGATTCTGAGTACCGTGTTTACTTAGGCTGCCATCTTGACTGGAAGCCCCTCGTGACTCTGATGTTGAGCATTTTTTCATATGCTTAATTTCCCCTCTGTATGTCTAGCTCAGTAAGATTTCTATTCATGTCTTTTTGTCCATTTTTTAATTGGGTTATTTGTTTTCTTGTTAAGTTTTGAGTCACTGATTGATTTTGTATTAAAATAGCAATTGCATTACTTGAATAAACACTATTTGCTGTATAGAATTTGTTAATATTTTGGTAAGGACCTTTGTATCTGTATTCACAAGGGATATAATTTTGTTGTTGTTATAACTTGTCAGGTTTTGGCATTAGAGTTATGCTGACCTTATTAAATGACTTGCCTCCTTCTCTATTTTCTGAAAGAGTTTGCAGAGCCCTAACTGGTTTGGCTCAGTGGATAGAGCATCGGCCTGCAGACTGAAAGGTCCCAGGTTTGATTCGAGTCAAGGGCATGTACCTTTGCTGGCACATTCCCCGCAGGGGGTGTGCAGGAGGCAGCTGATCGATGTTTCTCTCTCATCTATGTTTCTAACTCTGTCTGTCTCCCTTCCTCTCTGTAAAAAAATCAATAAAATATATTTGGGGGGGAAAAAAGTTTGTGGAATATTGGTGTTAATTTTTACTTAAATGTTTAATAGAATTTACTGGTAAGACTATCATATCTTAGCCTAGAGGGGGTTTTTTTTGAAATTTTATTTAATATACTATGTAGTTATTCATATTTTCTCTTTTATCTCATCAATTTGGGTAAATTGTAGTTTTCAAGGAATTTGTTTCATGTAAGCTGTCAAACTTATTGGCATAAAGTGGTTCATAATTTCTTACTATTTTGATATTTGTAGGATTTGTAGTGACGTATTATTTAGAAGTGTGTTTAATTTCTAAATATCTGAGGTTTTCCTGGATATCATATTATTATTGATTCTTGATTTAATTCCATTGTGATCAAAGAACATAATCTACATTTTTTTCAGTCCTTTTAAAAGTATTGAGACTTGTTTTATGCTTTAGCACATGTCTCTCTTGAAGAACGTAACTGTATGTTCTTGAAAAGAATGTAATTCTGTGGTTGTTGGTGTTGCATTTTATAAATATCACACTGATTAATGATATTGTTCAGATCCTCCATGTCTTTACTAATATGTTGCCTAGGAGCTTATTTTGTCATATTGGAAGCAGAACTCCTGCACTAGCTACCTTAGGAATTTGTACGCATGTATATTAGTGCTATTTACTATCACTTAGAGTTTAGGGACCTCTGTTTTCTGTACCCATAACACATTCTTTAGATATCCTTAAGGATGTCAAATCTTTAGACTTTAAATCTAGCTTTTTTTTTTTTTTTTTTTTTGTATAGACAGAACAACATTTGGAGTCAAGAATAGTAAATATATTTTCCAGTGAACAATAAATATAGTTAGCGCCCTAGCCAGTTTGGCTCAGTGGATAGAGCCATCAGCCTGTGGACTGAAAGGTCCTGGGTTCAATTCCAGTCAAGGGCACATGCCTGGGTTATGGGCCGATCGATCCCCAGTAGGAGGCGTGCAGAAGGCAGCTGATCAATGATTCTCATCATTGATGTTTCTATCTCTCCCTTCCTCTCCGAAATCAATAAAAATACACATTTTAAAAAATAATAAAATAAATTAAATATGGTGAGCAAGTTCAGTTATTCCTTTTTAAAATATGTTTTTATTGAATTTTAGAGAGAGAGGAAGGAGAGGGATTAGAGAGATAGAAACATCGATGAGAGAGAAACATCATCTATCACTGCCTCTTGCACGCCCCCTACTAGGGATCGAGCCCGAAACCCGGGCATGTGCCTTGACCGGGAATTGAACCGGTGATTTCTTGGTTCCTGGGTTAACACTCAACCGCTGAGCGACACCAGCCAGGTGAGTTATTCCTTTTTAAGGTAAAAAATAAAATGGGTCTTTGAAATAATGAAAATTACTACCGTAACTAATAAATTGATTTTGAAAATGTTTAAAGAGGAATTTTCAGGCAGTTTTACGCATAGACATTTGAATTACCTTCTCATGTTCTCTGCCCACTTTCTATTGAAATATAATTTACTTATTTTTGTAAAGGCCTTTCTAGCAAAGATTGTAACCCTTTTCCAATCATTTATATTGAAAATATTTTGTACAGTTTGTCACTTACCTTCCATTGTCTATGGAATTTTCTCAAATGCAAATTATTTTAAATTTTATATAGTCAGTCTTTCCATTTTCCCTTTATGTGATTTGTTTTTATACTTAGAAAAGTGTTCCTAACATAAAATCAGATGAATAATCCTAGTTTCTCAATATTTTACTTTTTGAAAATTTATATTAAAACTTGCCTCGGGAATTTATTTTGCTGAATAATATGAGGTAGAGATCTAAACTTAATTTTTTAAATATTTGTGTATTCTTGAAGCATAACTACTGATTTAGTTACTATAGCTTTGTAATATGTTTTGATACTTTTCTCACCTATTTATGCTTTATGCAAACTTCAGAGTAATTTTAAGTCCCTTTTTACCCCCCCAATAAAAAAGAAATTCTAATTGTCTTTTTTGAGATATAATTGACCTACAACTTTATATTTAAGCTTCAGATGTACAACATGACTTGATGTATGTATATATTGCAAAATGATCACCACAATAAGTCTAGTAAACAGCTATCACCACACAATTACAATTTGTTGTTGTTGTTGTGATGGGAACTTTTAAGATCTACTCTCTTAGCAATTCTCAAATATTCACTTAAAAATGTGGGACACTTCACAAATTTATGTGTCAATTTTGTGCAATACCATGCTGATCTCAGTATCATTCCAATTTTAGTATATGTGCTGCAGAAGTTACCACTCATGATATTTTGATTGGAACTGCATTCACAATTTTTTTAAAAAAAATTTGACATTGTTAAAGATTTTCTTATTAAAACAAAGTGTTCACTGCATATCAGTTCTTTTATGTGTCTCATATTTTTTCATTAATTTTCTTGTTATAATTAATGGAACTTTTTTTCCATTACACCTTCTGAATAGTACTTGGAAAAAGCCAACTTACGTACATATTTATATCCAGCCATCATATCAAACTCTCTTATTATCACTTTGAATTTTCTGAGTATATTAACTTCAAATAAAGCTAATGTAATTTCTCTGATTTCTGCTTCATTGCTTTGAAACTTTTAGAAGCATTAAATAATAATGCTAAAAGTAGGAATTCTTTTCTAGTTTATTTTAATATTAGGAATATTTAGTATTTTAAACATTTCTATGTTGTTCTGTTGTTCTAAATGGCATAGATAGTAAGGGTCTTTCTATTTAAATTTACTGAGTCTTTGCTTAGAATAAAAAGTATTCTGAAGTTTTAACAAATGCCTTTCAGTAACTGTTAAAATAATTTATTCTTTAATTTATGTGATATGATAAATTAATATATTTTCTAATATATTTGGACTCAGTATAGTTGTATTTTAATGGTGTGCTAAATTTGATTTGCTGTTATTTTACTTAAGATGTTTACATCTCTTTCCATATTGGGCGTATCCTGTGTTTTCTGCCTTTGCTGGTTTTTTTCCCCCTTTGGGTATTTGAGTATGTGCTGACTTTATTTTTTTAAATGGGAAGCGGCTTTTCTTTTTGTGATCTGGAAAGTGTTTATCACTTTAAAAAATTACTCTTTTTTTAAATTTATTTTAGAGAGAAAGGAAGGTAGAGGGACAGAAAGCGGGGAGAGAGAGAGAAACATTGATGAAGAGAGAAACATTGATATGAAAGAGAAGCATCGATCTGTTGCCTCCTGTATGCACCCTGACCAGGGATTGAACCTGCAGCCTGGGTATGTGCCCAATAACCTTTACAAAGCTCCAGCCAACGGATCCACACCAGCCAGGGCTTAAAAATCATTCTTGACTCTGCTCATACTCTACCTTCAGTGTCTCAACAATCATAACTCTCTACTTTTGAAATATATAATCCAGCCATTTCATAATTTCCACAAGCATCACCATAGTCCAGTGTTACTTTCTCTTGCTTACAGTATTACTTACTGTATGTAGACTTGTTCTTACTATTTGCCCCGCCTTCAATCTAGTTTCAACACAGCAGCTAGAGTGATCTTTTAAGATGTAAATAGGGTTATTTGACACAACTGCTCTATCTAGTAAGTCCCTTTAAAGCAGCGGTTCTCAACCTGTGGGTCGCAACCCCTTTGGTGGTCATATGACCCTTTCACAGGGTTCGCCTAAGACCATCGGAAAACACATATATAATTACATATTGTTTTTGTGATTAATCACTATGTTTTAATTATGTCCAATTTATAACAATGAAAATACATCCTGCATATCAGATATTTACATTATGATTCATAACAGTAGCAACATTACAGTTATGAAGTAGCAACGAAAATAATTTTATAGTTGGGGGTCACCACAACATGAGGAACTGTATTAAAGGGTCGCGGCATTAGGAAGGTTGAGAACCACTGCTTTAAAGGATTCCTATCTCTTTTAGAAAAAAACATCAAGACCTGACCTAGGTTTACTTCCTTTCTGACTTCATCTCTTGTCACTCTCTTGTTCACCTATTCTTCACTGGCCAAACAAGCCTACTCATTCTTTAGTCCTGCCAAATACTTTATGCCTCTGGACCTTTGCACTTCTGTTCTGCTGCATTCACTATTATCCCACTGCATCGTTTACTTTCTAATGTCCTTCAGATCAGGAGTCAGTCTTACCAGAAGTTTCTTTACCAGAGAGCTATTGAAATGAGCACTGTACCCAGGCACTCTCTGCCCCTTACTGTACTTTATTTTTCTTCTTAGTACTTACCATCACCTAAAAATTGGTTTTTGTTTTGTTTTGTTATGCTTATTTTCCCTCACTAAAATGTAAAAACCTTGTTTTTATTTACTGTATTAATCCCCAGTGCTAAATAACAGTTCCTGGAGAATAAACCCCTCCTCCATACCACTAATAAATATTTATTAACTGAATACGTGAATGAACTGAAGGAACTCACCTATAAAGGCATCTTTAGGAAGAAAAATGTTGGCGCCTCCTTTTTCTCTTTCTTCCCTTATTAGTCTTTTCAAATATTTTAGCTCTTATGTCAAATTTTGTGGCAGAATTGTTGGGACATAACAGATATATATAAATAATTTTCCAATTTTAAGTGTTCAATTGGATAAGTTTTGAAAAAAATATACAGTAGTATAAACACCACCACAATCATGATATGGAACATTCCCATCATTTCATGTGTCAGTTTTGTTAATGACTCATTTCTCTAAAATCTTTATTTCTTTGTTTTCCGATATTTTTCTTAAATTTGTTAGCAACTTAGATTTTTCAGTTATAAAAAACTAGTCATTATATTCATTGTTTAATAAATTAATTTTTATCTCATTTTCTTCCTTTTATTTTTCTTAAGTTTGTTTTGTTCTGCTTCTGTTGGATCTTCTGTTTATTCATTTGTTACTAGTGTACTTAAAAGCTTTATGGCTTTGCTGAAACTGGTTTGGCTCAGTGGATAGAGCGTCGGCTTGCGGACTGAAGAGTCCCGGGTTCAGTTCCAGTCAAGGGCATGTACCTGGGTTGCGGGCACATCCCCAGTAGGGGGGTGTGCAGGAGGCAGCTGATTGATGTTTCTCTCTCATCGATGTTTCTGACTCTCTATCTCTCTCCCTTTCTCTCTGTAAAAAATCAATAAAATATATTTTTTTAAAAAAGGTTTATGGCTTTAAATATGCCATTATTAATACTTTGGCTACATTCTAATCCATTTACATGTATACTATTCTAATGATGGTTTTCTCAGTGGTCTTTATTATTTTGATTTTTCTCTTTGATTCTAAACTTATTTGGAAGAGTTTTATTTTTTGAAGTTGAATTTCTTAAACTTTTATTATTAATTTCTACTTTTGGATATTTTTAAAAATTGTATAACCTAACACTTAATTTTAAAAGATGTATAATGAATTTTGAGAATGTATTTTTATAATATATAAAATTCAACATATAGCTACTGAATAACAACACTATTCTAATAGTCTGTATTATTATTTTTACCTGCTTGATATGTTAAAGACTGAAAGTGTTATTTGTCTGCCACTACAGTTGTGTTCTTGTCAGTTTCTTCTTGTATTCCACAGGGTGTTTTGTGGTTGTTGTTTTTTCTCTATTTTCATTTCAGTTCACTCTTGCCTTAAATCCTACTTTGTTTTTTTATTTTGTTTTGGTATTTGTCTTTGCCTAATAAATTTCAGCCTATCCACCCCACCCCATTTTTAAAAAAGAATTCATTGTTTTAGGTATATCTCTTCTAAACTCTGTGTACACATTGCATTTTTAAAAAATTTTTATTGATCCCTGGCTGAGTAGCTCATTTGGTTAGAGCATTGTACCCACACACCAATGTTGTGGGTTTGATCCCCGGTCAGGGCACATATAAGAATCAATGAGTGCATGAATAAGTGGGACAACAAGCCGATGTTTCTCTCTCTCTCCCCTCTCTCCCTTCCTCTCTCTCTAAAAATCTGTAAACAAATTTTTTAAAAAATTGTTTTTTATTAAGATGAACTTTGTTTGACATAAATTTAATCATTTAAAGTGCAAAATTCAGGTCGGCGGTGTGGATCAGTGGGTTGATCGTCATCCTATGAACTAGGAGATCACAGTTCAATTCCCAGTCAAGGCACATGCCTGGGTTACAGGCTCGATCCCCAGAGGGCGGGGGGTGGCGTGCAGGAGGCAGCCAATCAAAGATTCTTTAATTCCACTTGCTTATCTTTAAAATGAAATATTTTTAATTATTTGTCTTTGCTTTTCCAATAGAATTAAACAGAATATAATATTTTTTCATTTTAGTTAAGTTTATGTTCAGCTGCAAGAAACAAAAAATCCTAAAATAACAGTCAGTTAAATAAGATAGAAATAGCTTTCCCTCAAGTAAAACAAGTTGAGATATTTTCTAATTTGGCACTCAGTAGTGTCACAGACTGAGGTTCTTTCTGTTCCGTTGCTCTGTTGTACATGGCTTTTATTTCCAAGGACTCCTCATAGTCTAAGATAGCAGTTGGAATGTCAGCCATTTAATCTGCATACAAGCCTGTGGGGAGTAGAAACAGTTAAAGAAGGAATGCAATTAAAAAAAATTTTTTTTAAAGACACCTCTCTCTTTAAGGACCTATCCTGGTAGTTTGTACATACTTCTGCCTACATTCTCTTGGCCAGAACTGAGTCACATGGCCAAACCTAGTTGCAATGTAGACTAGGATATATTTTTATTCTAGGTAGCAATAGGCACAGCTAAAAACAACAGTTTTCCATTATAGAGGAAGAAAAGGAGAACAAATAATGGAAAACAACTAGTAGTTTCTGCCACACCTCCCCATGCATAAATTTAGGATACTGTCTTCTCTCACCACTCTTCTAATTTTTTAGGTTGTTTTTTTCTTAATTGATTTGTGAGAGGGAGAGAGAAAGGGGGGGGGGGAGAGAGAGAGAGAGAGAGAGAGAGAGAGAGAGAGAGAGAGAGAGAGAGAGAGAGAGAGAGAGAGAGAGGATTTATTATTCCACTTATTTATGCACTTATTGGTTGATTCTTGTATGTGCCCTGACCAGGGATGGAACCTACAACCTTGGCATATTGAGACAATGCTTTAACAAACTGAGCTATCTGCCAGGGCCTAATTTCTTAGTTTTTATAGATATTAGTGAGATACTAGACAGTAGTCCTTATTTATTAAAGGCTTACAATGTATCAGTTTTTTGTTGTTTTTTTTAAAAAATATATTCCATTGATTTTTCCACAGAGAGGAAGGGAGAGAGATAGAGAGTCAGAAACATCGATGAG